TGAGCGTGAGGAGCCTGGGGGTGCTGCGTCTGGAGGTGCTGCGTCTAGGGGTGCTGAGCCTGCGTGTGCGGAGCCTGGGGGTGCTGAGTCTGGGGGTGAGTCGCCTGAGGGTTCTGCGACTGCTTTTCCGCGGTCTCCTTGGAGTAGCCGTCTTCGTCCGCGTGTGCCCCTCACCTCCCAGCAGCTGCACGACTGGTACGGTCGCCGTCAGCGTCGCGCTTCTGCACCTCAGGGCTCTACTGCTGGGGGTTCTTCTGCTGGTGTCGCTGGTCCCGGAGGTGCTCGTACTGAGGGTACTGGAGCTGCTGGGGCTGGCGGTGTTGTGATTGAGGGTACTGGCGCTGCAGAGGGTGCTGGAGCTGCTGGGGGTACTGGAGCTGCTGGAGGTGCTGGCGGTGCTGGAGCTGCTGAGGGTACTAGAGCTACTAGCGGTGCTGGAGCTGCTGAGGGTACTGGAGCTGCTGGAGGTGCTCGACCTGCTGAGGGTCCTCGAGCTACTGACGGTGCTGGAGCTGCTGGAGGTGCTGGAGCTGCTAGAGGTGCTGGAGCTGCTGGTGCTGGTGGCACTGCTCAGCAGCGCCTGTTCTTCGCTCCGCCGTCTCCGTCGTCTCAGCCACCACCTGACTCTGCACTTCGCCAGGTTCTCAGTCTTCCCTCGTCTACTGGTCTTCCGTTACAGCCTGGCTCACCGCTGCCTGCTCCTTCTCCGTACACAGAGCAGACTAGGGGCCTTGCTGAGCGTCGTGAGCCTGCGTCGCGTCCTGTCTCCCCTGTCCGTTCTGGTCGTTCCGGTCGTCGTGTTCCTCGTCAGCGGCAGCCAGCTGTCTCCGGCTCTCACCTTGTAGTTCGTCGTCCTTCCTCTCCTCCACTGCGTGTTCCTCTGCCGTCTCCCCCTACGTCCTCTCTGCCTATCATTGCTGACCCTGCGTCTGACCAGGTTCGTGCTGAGCACTCTATTGTCACGTGTCTGCTTGCCACTGTTGTCACTGACCCGTCGTTTGAGTCTGCTGCTGCGTCTGCCTTAGTCGCTGAGCTTGTTGACTTTGCTGCTGCTTGTCGTCTCGACTACGCTGCCTGTCTTGTTGCTGAGTCTGAGTCTGTCTGTCCTCCGTCCGTCGGGGGTGAGTGTGCTCTTGGCACGGACGTCCTTGAGGATAGACAGGAGGACCTTGAGTGTCTTGCAGCCGCTGCGCCTCATCTCGTATCCATGCTGCTTGCCCCTGAGGGAGACCCGGATGCACCAGACATCCCTACCCCGCGCTCTTACGCTGAGGCGATAGAGGGTCCTTACTCCTCTCAGTGGCAGGCAGCCATGGACGCAGAGATGGCTTCCTGGAAGTCCACAGGCACCTACGTCGACGAGGTTCCCCCTCCTGGGGCGAACATTGTCAGTGGCATGTGGATTTTCAGGGTGAAGCGGCCGCCAGGTTCTCCGCCTGTCTTCAAGGCTCGGTACGTGGCTCGAGGCTTCAGTCAGCGAGAGGGAGTTGACTTCTTCCAGACCTTCTCCCCCACCCCGAAGATGACCACTCTTCGGGTGCTGCTGCACGTTGCCGCTCAGCGTGACTACGAGCTTCACTCTCTTGACTTCAGCACAGCCTTTTTACAGGGCAGCCTGCACGAGGAGATCCGGCTGCGCCGCCCTCCTGGCTTCACTGGGTCGTTCCCTCCTGGTACCCAGTGGAGCCTCCGGCGGCCGGTCTACGGTCTCCGCCAGGCGCCACGTGAGTGGCACGACACACTGAGGACGACACTTGCGGCTCTTGGGTTTGCTCCGTCGACTGCTGACCCGTCGCTGTTTTTGCGCACCGACACTTCTCTGCCGCAGTTCTACGTTCTCGTGTACGTCGACGACTTGGTCTTTGCCACTGCTGACACTGAGGCTCTCGCCCTGGTGAAGTCGGAGCTGCAGAAGAGACACACGTGCACAGACCTGGGTGAACTGCGCAGCTACCTTGTCTTGCAGATCACCCGGGACAGAGCACGCCGCACCATCACACTGACTCAGTCACACATGGTGCAGCAGGTCCTTCAGCGCTTCGGTTTCACCTGGTCCTCAGCACAGGCCACTCCTCTGGCTACAGGTCACTCGCTCTCAGCTCCACCTTCGGACGAGTCCGTAGAGTCGAGTGGTCCTTACCCAGAGTTAGTGGGCTGCCTCATGTACCTGATGACTTGCACTCGTCCTGACCTTGCGTACCCTCTTGGCCTTCTGGCTCGCTACGTGGCTCCTGGTCGGCACCGAAAGGTGCACATGGATGCTGCCAAGAGGGTACTACGCTACTTGTGCAGTACATCGGGCATGGGGCTCGTGCTTGGAGGACGGGGTGACGTTGTCCTCACAGGTCACTCGGACGCCTCTTGGGTTGATGACCAGGCTACGCAGCGGTCGTCACAGGGTTACACCTTCAACCTTGGTTCTGGTTCAGTTTCCTGGCGTTCTACACGTTCGTCTTCAGTTCTCGGCTCCAGCTGTGAGGCAGAGATCTACGCCACAGCCATGGCTACACAGGAGCCGCGCTGGCTCACCTACCTGCTGACCGACTTGGGAGAGAGGCCTCGTTCTCCTCCAGTTCTGTACGTCGACAACAAGGCCGCCATTGCCTTGTGTCAGGAGCACAGACTAGAGCACAGAACAAAGCACATCGCTCTCCGTTACTTTCTTACTCAAGAGCTGCAGCAGCGTGGCCAGCTTCGTCTTACCTACGTGGCCACTCGGGCCAACACTGCTGATATATTCACCAAGGCGCTTCCGCCTGGTGATCATCAGCGTTTCTGCACTTTGTTAGGCCTTGTGCCCACTCTTCCTCACTTGCTGTAGGCCTTGTTTGTACCATGATTTATATGTATTCCTGCATGCTTGTTCTTGTAGGTAGATATCACTGTACTGTTGTTGTTACATATATATTTCTGCATGTGAACTGGCCTTGTGGCCTTCTTGCTTGTGCTCAGACTGCGTGGTGACGTTGTGATCCACCCTGAGCTTGCTTTGCACTTCCTGACTGGTCTTGTGACCCTCTGTTCTCCCCCACTTTGCCTATGGGGGTGTATCAAACATATGTGTATATTTGTTATAGTTTGGTTAGGCTTAGTGGGGTACTCACTGTGGGGTACAACACCTTAGGTTTCTCCTTTGTACCTTTCCCCTTCGATAGTCGACACACAACTTTCCCGTAAGATTATGACACTGCACTCAACCTGACCTTGCCTACCATCTTAGCATCCTGGCACCCTACGTTGCGCCCGGGAGAAACCGACCAGAGCACTGGGAGGCCGCTAAGAGGGTGTTGCGCTACTTGTGCAGTACGTCGGGCATGGGGCTCGTACTTGGAGGACGGCGTCCAGTTGTCTTCACTGAACACGCAGACGCTTCTTGGGTTGATGACTTGGCTACGCAGCGGTCGTCACAGGGTTACACTTTTAGCCTTGGCTCCGGCTTTGTTTCTTGGCGGTCTACCCGTTCGTCTTCTGTTCTCAGTTCCAGTTGTGAGGCTAAGATCTACGCAGGGGCCATGGCTGCACAGGAGTTACGCTGGCTCACCTACCTGCAGACTGACTTGGGAGAGCAGCCTCGTTCTTCTCCAGTTCTGTGCATAAACAGCAAGGCCATGATTGCCTTGTGTCAGGAGCACAGACTGGAGCACAGAACGAAGCACATCGCTCTGCGTTACTTCCTTGCTCGAGAGTTGCAGCAGCGTGGTCAGCTTCGTCTTGCTTAAGTGGCCACTAGGGCCAATACTGCTGATATTTTCACCAAGGCACTTCCGCCTGGTGATCATCAGCGTTTCTATACTGTTTTAGGCCTTGTGCCTACTTTGCCTCACTTGCTCACAGCGTGACTTTGCTTATATTGTGATCTATGTATATACGTGCATGCCTACACTTGCTAGGGTATGGTCACTGTACTTTTTGTTCTCTTTTATATAATTCTGCATGTGAGCTGGCCTTGTGGTCATTTGCTTGTGCTCGGAATGTGTGGTGACTTCGTGATCCACCCTGAGCTTGCTTTGCTTTTCTTGACTGGTCTTGTGACCACTTGTTCTCCCCCAATTTGCCTATGGGGGTGTGTCAAAATGTTGCATTGCTTACTTTGTGTAGGCTATACTGGGGTAGCCCATAAGGGGTACAACCCAATTAGGGTTAGTACTTGTACCCAACTCTTTCATAGTTCATCCATTTTCTCGTTTGTTAGTTTGACATAGGAGGGACCCGCGGGGGTCATGAAAGAGGCATATCAGGGGACCCGCGAGAGTCGTCCTAAGCGGCGATTTGGGAGGCTGCCGGTATGCACGCTAAGGACAGCGGGACGGATGGAGCTAGGGAGAACGGTGGGTCGGGTTTTTATGAATTAACTAGCGATTGTACCATCTCAAAGTAGCTTGTAGCGGAGTGATTAGACTACTGTAGTAGGAGAAGGGTACAAGTAAGAATGTCGAGAGAAATCTTGTATTCCTTTCCATAGTAAAGTGCACCTCGATTTAGCCTGATACACATAATATGCATACCATAATGTGTGCGTTGCCAATCTAGTCGTTTAGATGAAACCAAAGGATATGCCTTCAAATTCAGATAACAATGAGATTTAGGCTTGATATTACAGACGATCAGATAATTCGTTTGATGTCGAAGTCCCTTGTTGGGTACGATGTCAGGTAGTTGAACATGTCTGTACATGCACCACATTTGAAATATGACAGTGTTAGCACCGCGGTGGTCTATAGAGGGCAGTTATGTCATACTCGGCAGTAAGCGCTGAACTGCGGGGTGAGGGTCAGTACCCCCCATAGAGCACCCCGTTAGTAGATCTGGTTCGGTATGGTCCAATGATGAATAAAACAAGATCAGCTTGCCAAGATTCGGACGAGTAGTAACGGCGCGAAAGGGGTTGTACAGAAGATCGTTAGACGGCAGCGTGAAAGCAGTTGAACAATGTGAACCGCAAGGAATGCCGCGCGCTGAGCACGCATGCTCCTGGTAATCTCTTCCCCCTCTGCCAGTCGATGCCATCATGCTGCGCCTACTCCCAGTCATGCGCCCTTCACACCACACTCGCCGCCGTCGCCTCACCCGCTGCTCTCCGTCTCTTGTTGCTCGTTGCTTCCGTCTCGTCCTCGTCGCAGCGTGCCTCGCTGTAAGGGCAATTTCTTGACATTCTCCCACCCTCCTGCCGCGCTCCCTAACCTAGAGCCCCTGAAATCCCACCTCAAAGCGGCGTCGCGCAGGTGAGCTCACGACGCGGCTCGTCCACTCCCTCCGTCCCACCCTCCCCCATCACCACACTCCGCAATCATGCGGCGGTCCCTCCCTGCCCTTCCGCGCGCAGGCATGCAGCGCGCAGCGCGGCGGCGCGGCGCGGCCAGGGTCGATCCTGGCGGGGTTTGAGTACCCGGAGCACGTGTGCGGGGTGGCGTGGCGCGACGAGTACGTGCGGCTGCACGCGCGCATCAGAGCCGCCAGCCGCGACGCGTGGCGCGCGCGACAGCTTCGTCCCACTATCACCCTCTTCCAGCTCTGGACTGGCCGCCATCCCTCTATTCGCCCTCTTCGGGTGTAAGGGTGTGTTGCTCATGTCCTTGTCAATCCGGTAGACCGATCACGACAGGGTGGCAAGCTCGCTCCCAAGACGCAACTCTGTGCGTTCCTTGGCATCAACTTTGACTGTCCTGGCTACCTTTTCTATGCCCCTTCCTCTCAGCAGCTCACTCGCAGCCAGGGTGTCATCTTTGACGAAACTCGCTCTCCAGGGGGAGGGGGGGGGGGGAGGGGATCGGCGTCTACCACCTCATTGGGCTCGTCTCCATCTTCCTTTTTTTTCTTTTAAGGTTTCTCAATCTGTTTTTCTAAATCTGTTTTCTGAATCCGTTTTTTGAGCGTTTTCAAAAAACAGGTACGGCACGTGCGGGGGCATCGGCGACTACCTGATTGGGCTCGTCTCCATCTTCCCCGCTGCGCTGCTCGACCGCCGCGCGCTGCTCGTCGCGCAGCCCTGCATGCACGCCGCCTTCCGCTCGCCACACATCGACACCGCACTCTCCCCCGACGTCCCCATGGGGGGAAAGCCGCTGCTGCGCACCACGCCCTTAGACGCACCCGGCGCAGGCGCTGGCGACAGCAACAGCAACGGCAACGGTGACAGCGACGGGGACAGCAACGAGCGTCGTGTGGAGTGGCACGCGCCGCCGTGTGAGCGGCTGGAGGGTAACCTGAGTGCGGAGGTGAGGGACAGCGGCGCGGTGCCGTGCTTCAACATGGTGGGGCAGAGCTTTGGTATCCAGGACCTGCAGCGGCACAGCGCGCTGAGCAACTACCGCATGCGGTATAACCATGGGTTGTTGATCAACACTCTGCTGCTGGATGAGGGGCCGTGGGCTGCCGCGCTGAGGCAGCTGGGCTTTAAGGTCGCGTACGGCTTCGGATGCATCCTCCGGTTTCTCTTCAGGTGTGTCTCGCTCACTGCTGTGCCGTGCACTGCTGCACCACACGCCTCAGTCGTCTGCGCATGCTGAGAAGGCACGGTGTGAGTGCTATCCATCTGTCATCTCCACCCACTGTTCCCCCTTCCTCTTCTGTTCGTCTCTTGCATCCCCTCCTTCCCCTCCCACTCTGCTCCTCTCCCTCTCTTTCCTCCTCTCCCGGCCCCAGTCCGCGTCCTGAGGTGTGGCAGCTGGTGGCGGGGATAGAGGAGCACGTGTGGGGGGAGGGCGTGGTGCATGCTGAGAGGTCGAGGCACGCTGTGATTGGTATCCATCCGTCACGTCACCCGTCCACCCACTCTCCTCCCTTCCTCTTCCGTTCATCTCTTTCCATCCCCTCCGTCCCCAGTCCGCGGCCCGAGGTGTGGCAGCTGGTGGCGGGGATAGAGGAGCACGTGTGGGGCGAGGGCGTGGTGCGGGTGGCGGTGCACCTGCGTGTGCCAGACCAGACGGTGTGGCACATGTTTGAGGGCATGCCACTGGAAACGTCGCAGCAGCAGCTGGATGAGTTGCTTGCCGAAGCCAACAGCACTCTGCAGTGCGCACAGGCAGGTGTTGGGGGGGTGGAGGGGGAAGAGAGGGGTGAGGGACAGCACGGTGTGGCACATGTTTGAGGGAAGGAGGGAACGGGGGAGGAAGGCAAGGGCAGCAGGAGTGGGTTTTGAAGAGCATGTATGGTGACACTTCTTCTCTGCATGTTTGGCCACTGATCGTTTCACTGTGCTCCCCTCCCCATTTCTCTCCCCAACACCCCCACAACCCCCATGGCAGACAGTGGAGGATTTCTGGTACCCGCCTCCCCTGCAGGTGAAGTGGATTCTCATCACCAACTCGCACCCGCTCAAACAAGCGCTTAAAGCCAAGTACCCAGATAAGGTGTGTAACCACCCCCACCTCCACCCACGCTCATGTTCCACCCCGTCCCCACCCGTCCCTCCACCTGTCCCCCCGTTTCTCCTTCCTTCCATCGCCTTCCCTCACCACATCTGTTTCCTTCCTTTCACCCGCTCGCTTTCCCGCCTCCTCTTGCCCTGCCTCATCCCTCCCGTTCCGCTCATGCGCCTCGCCTTTCCAATGCATGCGCCGCATTGTGTGCGCATTCCCCACGTGCCGCCACGGGCCATATGTCCACAGTTGGCTGCATCCGCTGCCATGCATCCTTCCTTCCATCGCCTTCCCTCTTCACATATGTTGCCTTCCATTCACCCACTCACTTTCCTTGCTTCCTCTTTCCCTGCCTCATCCCTCCCCTGGCCATGTGCCGCATTGCGTGCATGCCATCTGTGACCTGTCACTTTGGGTGCATGCCATCTGTGACCTGTCACATTGGGTGCATGCCATGTGCCGCCTTACGTCCATGCCATGTGTGGTGACAGACGGGGCACATGTTGCACGGCCAGGTGGTGGCAACAGACTTCATCCCATGGCACTCCGACCTCGCCACGGAGCACGAGCGCACACACACCTCATCCCATCTCCTCCCTTTCCTCCCATCACATGCCACACCTCCCCCCTGTGCCTGTACTGCACTGTGTGCATGGGCGTGCCACGCTGCCAGGTGGTGGCAACAGATTTCATCCCATGGCACTCGGATCGAGCCACGGAGCACGAGAACACAAATCTCACCTCGGCCGAGGAGCATGAAGCAGCCGTGCGCGGCCTGCAGCACTTCCGGGAGACGGTGGCGGAGTGGGCGCTCGTGGCGTCCTGCCACACGTTCATCATCCCCGCCTCGGGCTTCTCCCGCACGGCTGCCCTCTACGCCCTGCGCCCGCTCGACATGTTCATTCCCGCGGCTCCTGGAGCGGCATCTAGGCCTCTGCTGGGCATATGGTCACCTGATCATTTGGGTATCTGGCTGTCATAATAGTAGCTAGAGGGTGAGACTAGGAGCCATCCTAGGGTTTATGCTAGGCATGACTATCGAGAGAATTGGAGCAAGAAAGGATGGTTTCACTATAGAGAGTGAAGTACAAATAGGGGAGGAAAGGGGGTTCACCACCAAGCAGGAAATTAGGATAACTATGTCAGAATCCCAACCACTAGACCACTGGGATAAAAGGGCTTGTTAAGTAGCGGGTCAGTGCGCCCATAACCCCCCAGGCCAACATGCCTGTAACCCTTCCCTAGGATCAATCGGGGATCACCAGTGGACCTCTGACACCCCCCCGCACTGGGATGCCCGAAGTGCACACACTGGGATTCGAACCCGAGACCTTCGCTCTAATACCATGTCAGAATCCCAACCACTAGACCACTGGGATAAAAGGGCTTGTTAAGTACCGTATTACCCCGGACATACCACCCGCCGAAATAGAGCACCCCCCGGGTGGCTTGTGTTGGGGGGGTGCTATAGCGGGCCTCATTTCTACTATACCCCCCTTTTGGGGCAATCCGGTATAGCACCCGGGGGGGGGGTGTTATGTACGGGTAATATTGCAGTTTTTGCCTAAATAGCACTGGGTTTCCAATGATTAACCATCTACATGTTAACATCAGCACAAACAAGCTACGTCTGACGCTATACAGCGATATCACTCCCATCACACAGTCTTTCCTTCATTCAGATGGGGCCTACTACCATCCAGACAGAATGCTATCTACCTACACAGAAGAAGCCCTTCCTCCTACTCCTCGTCCCCAGCATTCCATTCCTCAACCTCCTCTCCGTCAAAGCAGTCGGGGAGCCACCAGTCAGAGCCGGCCTCGCTCCACTCATCTGCATCCCCATCTTCTCCAGCCCCGTACCCTTCCCCATCTCCGTCTTCCGCATCCGCATCCTCTTCGTCCTGCTCCACATGCATGGCATCGTCGTCCGCCTGCAGCACCTCGGCCGGCACGCGGGTCTCCTCGAAGTAGGGGTTGGGGATGACCTCGTCTTCAACCATCTCGTTCACATCCTCCAGCACTTCCACCTCACCCTTGTCCCGCAGGTGTGCGAGGACGAGGTGGTCTTCGCTGCCGTCGAGCTTGGTGGAAATCCCGCAGGTGACAAAGGACTTCCTGATCAGCTCCTCTGGGACCTCCTGCCAGGACTCGTCGATCCACTTCAGAATTGTCTCCGCGGGAGGCTTTTGCAGATTGCCTGAGGGATGGGCAAGGCACGCACCGAGTTGTTTGATGAAATACACAGGCACGCATGCACAACAACACGATCGGAAAGCAAGGGACCATCTCACCTGCACGCGTCCTCGTGTTGATCCCGATGTCTTCAAACCAAGTGCCATAGCGGTGACGCGTACCGGCCTTGAACGCGCGATTCACGGACACGTCTAGCGGCTGCAGAAGCGGGGTGCACCCCCCCGGGATGACCGCCCGCGTCAGACGGAACATTCGCATGGTTTGACCGACGGCTTCGGTCAAATGGCCGCGGTAGGAGTCCAGGACGACCAACGCCTCCCTGCGGCGTCCGGCTCTTTCGCGGATGGGCTTCAGAAACGGCACAAGTACCTGGGTTATCCAGTCCTGCACAAGGCCTTCGTCCATCCACCCCTTCTCTTGTGCACGGACGACCACACCTGCCGTTCACAACGCAAAGAGAGCGAGTGGTTAGAGGGAGTAATGGATACAACAACTAGAGTGAAGATTGAAATAGCTGGATACTTACCAGCTGGGATGGGCACTTTGGGGATGGTTTTGCGTTTGAAAGTGTCGACATATGGAGGAAGCTTCAGCCCTCCCGCCGTCACTGCCAGCATGACAGTGACGCGTTCCTTCTCGTAGCCGGCAGTGCGCACGTGGACCGTCCGCGCTCCCTTTGTTTCGATTGTACGCTCGGCCGGCATCTCCAAAAACAGAGGAGTCTGATCCGCGTTCACGATCAGGTCGAGCGGGTAGTCGTGGAGGGTGCGCATCCGCATCAGGAACTCCCAGAAGGATTCAACCTTAGCCTTGCAATCTGCACGCACAACAAAACACAGAGAAAACATTAAGAGTTAGCATAGCTCAGATAGAGATGCATCCATTCAAGGACAACTTACCCGCAGCTAACTTCTGGCCCATCTTCGTTTTCACCCGTCGAGCCAGGTGCCAGCGAGCGCGGAAACGATTAGTCCAGCGCTGTGAAGCACGCCAAATCACGCCAGGCATCCGATGCTTCATGAACTTGGCGCTCCACTGCTGCAGCATGCTGACCGATACGGCGAGTCCCTTAGCGCGGTGCTTAAGAAACTGCCGATACACGGCTCGTTCCATGAATGGGTACTTCGCGCGGCGCCCAGCTCCCATGAGGCGACGGCGGCATCCAGAGGCGACCTCCAGACGCTCCTTCATCCGCTTCCACTCACGGATCTGGCAGGGCTGCACCTTCGCCAGCTTGGCCAAAGCTCGATTTGACAGGTCTGGCTGCGATTCCTGCAGTTTCAGCCAGTGGAGCTTCTCCTTGGCGGTGTACGCATGACGAACACGTTTCGTCATGCGATGACGTGGGGAAGGAGCGTCGGTATCCGCGTTGCGCTTCGGAGGTCCCTGGGGGCGTGTTTGTTCCGGGAAGGAAGGAATCTTCACCTTCGGCAGCGCCGGCATAGGACGGGTCGCGCTGCTGCTCGGTTCATCGTTGGTGGCGCGACTCACGGGGGGTGACGGCTGCAGCAGGACGGGCCGGGGCGAACGCCGTGTGCCCGCAGCAGCGGGTGACTGGGTGACGGAAGGCCGCTGCCGCCTAACCACTGTGCTACTGGAGTCTGGAGAGGTAGCCATCTAAGCCTAGTGAACGTTGGTGTCACAGGCCATGGAATCCCTGAATTTATGCTAGGAAAGGGATCGAGGAGGCAGTTGGTGTTAGCACACTCTGCCGAGCATTGCTCGAGTTCGTGGAATGGAGCCGCTGCACAGAAAGAAGGATGAACTCCTTCTCAGTACAAGGACGTGACCGCCTCAGCGAGGCAGCTGAGGCTGTTGCGGGCGCTCCGCCTTTGTGACTGCATGAATCCTCGTCGAGCGACGAGGGGGTGTGTTTTCTTTCCAATCAGGGCCTGACTGTGGGCCTTGTTGGAGCTTGCAATGTGGCAGCTAACCCACGAGACTAATGTTATCGCCTAGTCCTCGGTTTTGCGCACCCAACCAACAATCTAGCACCGCGTCAAACATGTACATTTTGTTCTCAACCTTTTGTGCTCTAAAACAAATATACATTATGTAACGACCCGGGTGCAATGTAGCTTTTTCCGATGACAAGACCCCCCCCCCTTTTTTTGTGTAGTTATCATAGCACCCTGGGGTGGTATGTCCGGGGTAATACGGTAGCGGGTCAGTGCGCCCATAACCCCCCAGGCCAACATGCCTGTAACCCTTCCCTAGGATCAATCGGGGATCACCAGTGGACCTCTGACAAACTACACTACAGCTAGAACTACATGCAGTTATAAAAATATAATTCTGACACTGGCATCCAGGCATCATACCCATGCCCATTTCTGCATTGCGTGGCTCCTGGAGCAGCATCTAGGCATCTGGGAATGTGGGCATGTTGGCTATCTGAGCTTCAGGGCGCCTGTGCATCTACTCATCTGGGCATCGTACACATGCCCATTGCTGCCCTGCGGCCTGCCATGGCTTGCTGGGCAACATGCCATGGGGCTCGTGGAGCTTGTGGAGCTTGGGATTGTCAGAATGTTATAGTGCTTACTTTGTGTAGGCTATAGTGGGGTAGCCCATAAGGGGTACAACCCAATTACGGTTACTACTTGTACCCAACACTTTCATAGTTCATCCATTTTCTCGTTCGTTAGTTTGACATGTTTTCAGAGCAAGTCCTTCCCTAGGACCGATTTTTTTTTTAGGACCCACCACAGAGCTGCCCCACTAGCTGCCCTGCCGCCCTACCCTACTGACGCGCCGCCCTGCTGGCTGCGGCACCGCCCCTAGCAGCTCGTCGAGCCGCCCCTAGCAGCCCACGAGCCGCCCCTGCAGTCAGCGCGCTGCCCCTGCAGCCCGCACGCCGCCCGCTTGCGGCCCGCCCGCCGCCCCTGCAGCCCGCGCGCCGCCCGCTTGCGGCCCGCCCGCCGCCCCTGCAGCCCGCGCGCCGCTCGCTTGCGGCCCGCCCGCCGCCCCTGCAGCCCGCGTGTCGCCCGCTTGCGGCCAGCCCGCCGCTCCTGCAGCCCGCGCGCCGCCCACCTGCGGCCCGCCCGCCGCCCCTGTAGCCCGCGCGCCGCCCGCTTGTGGCCCGCCCGCCGACCCTCGGCCAGCTCGCCGCCCTTGCGGCCCGCTCGCCGCCCTAGCAGCCCGCTCGCCGCCCCTCAGGCTTGCTCGCCGACCTTGCGGCCCGCTCGCCGCCCCTAAGGCCTGCCCGCCGCCCCTAAGGCCCGCTCGCCGCCCGCTTGCGGCTCGCCCGCCGCCCTTGCCGCCAACTCGCCGCCACTGCAGCCCGTGTGCTCCCCCTCCGGCCCGCTAGCCGCCCCTGCCGCCCGCTCGCCGCTTGCTCGCGGCCCGCTAGCCGCCCCTGCAGCTCGATCGCCGCCTGCCTGCAGCCCGCTCGCCGCCCCTGCCCACGCTTGCCGCCTGCCTACGGCCAGCTCGCTGCCCCTGCAGCTCGCTCGCCGCACGCCTGCAGCCCGCTCGCCGCCCGCCTGCGGCCCACCTGCCGCCCCTTGCACCCCGCGAGCCGCCCCTCTTGCAGCCTGCGCGCCGCCACTTGCAGCCCGCTCGCCGCCCCTTGCGGCCCGCTTGCCGCCTCCTCTGCAGCCCGTGCACTGCCTGGCTGCTGCCAGCCCTGTTGCTTGCGCCGCCCGGCTCCTGCCCGCCTTGCTGTGCACCGCCTTGCCCTGCCCTGCGAGCTTCCCTAGTGCTCGTGCGCCACCCTGCCCGCATGCTGCTCTGCTATGGCTTCTCTCAGCGAACTCACTTTCGATCATGAGGGCCGCTCGATCC